CATCTTGATGCATATTCATTTTATTGCGAGGACTTTCGATATTAGCACAATGTCGTCATCAGGCCCTTGGTTTTTTGGGTTTTTTTAATAAAAAAATTGTCTCAGCGGTTGAGTTTTCATTTGAATGATGCGTCTAACATCTCTCAACATTTACAACAGTATTCCTGCCCACATCCACAATTCAGAAAACTTGTTAAAATGCATCTATACTTTTTCATGAAAATAATAAACAAGCTTAAAATTCTTGAAACTATCTATATTAAATATTAAAACCAACCCTTAATAAAATTAATTATGAATACTGCACAAATGTTTTAAAATGTTTACATAGTTTTTAACTAATAGTTTTAAATATTTTCTTTTAATATATAGATATTTTAATAACTTAGTTACCTCCCTTGATGTTTGTACGTGTGTCTACATGAAAATCTTTAAAAATCATACAGAACATAACCTTAACGTTTTTCACTTCACACGTAAAAATTTAATTTTCAGATGAACACAACAATTTTTTGTCTTGGAAAAAACAGGACCCCGATGACAACATTGTGCTAATGTCGAAAGTACTCGGATTAAATGAATATGCATCAAGATGGTAATTTTCTTTCTTCCTTTAATAAAGATACTTGTATAAGAAGTATAAGAAACTTGTCCGTAATTACGAGACTAATCAAATTGTCTTTAAATTAAGTGGTGACAGAACTTTTCAAAAGTAAGCTTAAATATTAATGAGATACTTAAATGCAGAGATCAATTTTGAGTTCTTCTGGAGTTTATTATTGCCTATCACATCTACTCCTTCCAACCGATTGTGATGAAGACCCAATCAAAAGCCCACCGCTTAAATGCCGCCCGATAAGGCGGCTTTTAAGTTAGTAGTATATATATATCTTCGCTGGATTTGTATGAAGGTCACAAGTGGAACTGAAGTGTTACATACAAGACAAACATAAAAACTGAATGAGGTTGTCGGATAAAAGAGAAAAATTGAAATCGACGGGATAACCCATTATATATATATATATATATATATATATATATATATATATATATATATATATATAATATATAAAACTCATTCCTATTGCACCCAAAACTCAACTTTGCCCTGAACTCTGTATTTTCGTAAAATGGCTCGTTAGTAGCATGACACAACCAACCGACGCAAAAAGGAATACGAACTTATCTCGTCGGCAATTAATAGCAAAAATTGTTTCCCACTTTTCAACATTGATTGATTTAATTTATTAGAAATAAACATTTTTTGAATTAATTTTATTCAGTAAGATTAACTTAGAGCAACATAAGATTAGATGGGGGGGGAGCGAAAATGTTGCGTTACATCAATCCAATAAATGGAGAACGCCTAAGAGTTTTTGGCAATATCCATTTTTGAATTGCTTCTTTTTAACTAGACGTTAATGCTGACATACCATCTATTTTTTCTTTCTCTTTTTTTCTTTCGTCAGTGATTTTGTTAATGTCTAATTCTTTTTAAAGTGTAATTCAGTCTGTAGAAGGCCCCGTGGCCACTCGAGGTAGAGGGTTACAAAGAGGCACAGTTTATGCGTATCGGTGAGGAAGATAACGGTTAACCCTAGACTTGAACAGGTTAAGATTGTAGGGATCAGGAAAGCATCCTCTTGGGAGTCAGATCCACAGAGCAGTGGTTCGCAGGAAAAAGTCCATTGAATGGAACTTACTTCTCACCAATGGAATATGGAGGTAATTAGATTGGTTTTCTACACTATGGATGATATAGTAAGTCCTCACCGTGAAAGTTAGAACTAGCGGAACTAAAGAATGCAGTTTGTACGAGCACTTTCAATAGAAGTAACGATAGAACAGTGAGACAATTGGCGTGGGGGAGAGAGAGAGAGAGAGAAAGAGAGAGAGAGGTCGGATAGTGGAAAATGAAACATAAAAATAATTACTACTATTTAACTAAATAATTGCACTTTCAAACTATTTCTCATTTTTGACTTCCAGATAATATTCATATTTCGTCGTACGGTCAATATCATTAAATTTTTAAAATCAAGTTTGTTTTTGTTTTGTTTTTTTGTTTTTTGGGGTTTTTTTGTTGCAAAAAAAACCCTAGATGGTACATACACTCGACTGTTGATAACAGCGGTAGATGCCAACTGAATACAACATAAACCCAATGAAGAATTATATAACCTACCAAAGTTTATAGACACAAACTGTGAAAAGTGAGTGTGGATTTAGTATGTTTGTTTGTTTGTTTGTTTAACGGCATATCAACACCTTATGGGTCATTTAATGCCGAAATTTAATTTTCTTGTAAATATTAGTAATTTCTTTTACAAAAAATGTACTTTTTTTTCAAAAATGTATTGCTGTATTTTTTATAGAAATGTATTGCAGGTATTTTTACTATATTTTTTTTTATACTTTCATAGTGTTTTGAACCTAGTTTGGGGGTTAACTATTTGCCGATAGCTGGGACTAGCAACTCGGCTCAGGATGGACCTGAGAACACCAGCAATTAAGAGGTGGTTCCGCACTCCTCAAAACCTCATGATCAGAGACCTTGCTGCCTGATATAGTTTATCGTCATAACCAGGACACGTGGTTTTAGTGATCATTGCTGCAGAAGTAAACAAGATGCTTTCCATTAGCTTATACTACAGGATCCAAAATATGGGAAAACATCAAGAAGTGGAGCAGCAAGAACTGGATCGAGCTTTGGTAATAGCAATCGTAATGTAAGCTGTTTCCTTATAATGCAACGGCTAATATTACCATTCTGCATTCATTAATCTACATGGAAATTTGATATTCATTGACCAAGTAGCTAACACTACTTTTGTTTGAAATTTAAAAATCTTTTTCTAGTTAAACAATTATTTGTGAAAAGAGGTTTCTCAAGTCTGACATCGCTCTCTCCATTATTAATGGTGGCATTCTTCCTAAATTTTTGTTGGAATGGATGACTCAGATGATTATAAAGAGGGAATAAGTGTCCATTTAAGGAACATTGAGAACTGACACAGATTAACACACTTCTAAAGAACTAGGACAATACTTATGTATTAAGGTTATATTTGGTCTGCCACAGGGATACAACGATTTTGTGTTCAATAAAAAGCATGCTTACTATTGACGAATTGATCGGCTAGACGTACTTGAGACCAAAATCACTACGACAGCTGCCCAGTGTTCTAGGGTTTTTTTTTTTAGTCTGGCACAAGGTCACAGTGAGGATCAAACTTACTATTTATGTATTTATTATCAAAATAGTTTTTACACTGACAGTTTTTAGCGAGTTTTGCTAGAGATTGTGATCTCTTCAACTCAATTTCTATCCATGAAGTACCCTTATGTAGTTTTAGTTATTCCTTACACTCGAGTTTACCGTTCCTCTTGGGCGGGGGTGGGGTGGTAACCATCTCTGGATCATTCTGGTCTTTTGGTAATCTGTGTATATTTTACTCGACTTTTCAATCCCTTAACACCACTCTGTCAATATACCTTCAAATAGCTAGATTCGAAATGTGTCAAAAACTTCCTTTGCCCAAAATGATTAGACCATTTCGTCTTGTATTTATGACATAACTTCCAAAGTCTCAAAGAATCTTATATCCCTGCCTTTTTCAACGACATCCTTTGGTTAATCATTCGGCATTTGGTTTGTCTCCTCATTTATTTCATTATTGATTTGATTTTATAAATTTTAAATTTACATGTTTTATGTGCCTGGATAATATTAGGTACAAAATATAAACTGTTTTATTAAATTAATATTTTAGTTATATATGTACGCTCAAGATACGGTGGGGGTGCTGAAAAATGATCCCAGCTTTGACCATTAATATAAACGTTATTTTTAGTGGCTAAATGTGTTTGAGTTGCTATCCCTTCTGTTTTTTTCCGTCCTGGGTAAGACGATAAACTACATACTCTTGATCAGAAGGTTTTGAGGTTTTGCTGGTGTTCCCAGGTACACCCTTACCCGTGTGGTAGCATCCGTCAGGGTCCCAGCTATGGGCAAATAGTTAACCCCCCAAAAGTGGTCAAAACACTATGAAAGTAAAAAAAAAATAGGTTTTAATACCAGCAACATTTTGGGAATTTTTTTTTATTTTTGCCAGTCATACATATTTGAAAAAAATATTGCCAACAATACAATTTAAAAAAAATATTACCAGCAATAAAAATCTTGTCAGCATTAATCCTTCTGTTTTTTTAAATTGTCACTTTTTAATATTTTCATTGTTTAAGAAAAATAAAAATCAGGGATGGAAACGCAAATGTTTTTACTCTTCTTCTTCTTTTGTATGCCGTGTCCCTTCAGGACGTAGGCGATCATGGCTCTCCACTTCCCCCCTATCCCTAGAAAGCTCTGAATACGTTTTGTCATTTTCCTACTTCTCCTAGACACTGTTACATCATCCACTTGCTTAAGCCAGTTAGGTATGTTACGTGTTATTTTCCCTTGTCTCTCTTTCCTTCTATTCGCCCTGTGAGTATCAGATTCTCCAAGCCCTACTTTCTCATTACGTGTTCCAGAAATTTTAGCTGCTACTTCCTGATGTTAAGTATGTTTCCTCTTTGTTTGCATCCTCTCCAAAACCTCATCGTTGCTCACATGTTCGGTCCATGGTATCCTTAGCATCCTTCTGTAGAACCATATATATCTTGTCTCGAGTCTCTTTTTCATCTTTGACAAGACCATCCAACATTCATTGCCATAAAGGAGGACAGATATTATGTAACAGTTCAGTAGTCTTTTGTTTGTTACAAAACAAAATCCAGTCTCATAAGACTCTGTCTACCTTTTGGAATGTGTGTCTTTGGCCATCCCAATATGTCTTCGGATCTCAGCCTCACACTTACCGTCCTCGATCAGAACGCTTCCCAGATATTTAAATTTCCGCAGCTGCTTGATTTTTTGTGTCTCCCACCTGTAAATTGCATTTCACGCTCATCTTTTTACTGATGACAATGCATTCTATCTCCTTGCAGTTTATGCTTAGTTCCTTCTCTCTCTCTCTCTCTCTCTTTATCTCTCTCTATCTCTCTCTCTCTCTCTCTCTCTCTTTCGCTACCTTCTGTAGGAAGTTTTGTAATTTCTTTTCAGTGTCTGTTATCAGTACTATGTCATCTCACTAAATCGTAATGTTCATAGTAATGTGAATTGCAGTCGAATTAAAAAATTCATTTAAAAAATAAATATATATGTGCATACTTTTGATTTCATTATGTATATTTAGATACACACACACACACACATATATATATATATGTGTGTGTGTGTATCATTATATATATTATAATTATACATGTTATATGTTAATATATATATAGTATATATATAGTTTATATATATATATATTATATATATATATATTATATATTAATATATAATATGTTGTAATTAATGTTATTATAACATCATTAATAATAATAATTATTAATATTGATATTAAAATTATAATTAATATGCAATAGTACTTCATAATATAATATATATATATTTTACTATATATTATAATATATATTATATATATGTTATGTATATATTACATATTATTAATATATATATATATTATATATAATATATATTATATATATAATGTTAATATTTATAAAATATATGTTATTCATTATGTATATATAGATATATATATGAGCATACCTTTGATTTTATTATGTATATTTAGATACCTACATACATGCATAATGTGCCCTGTGCATACATTTAAATATATAAAATTTTTTACGACAAAAGAAACAACAGCTAAAAATGAAATCCAGCATTTAAATAATAAAATCCAAGAACATCAATCGAAATAAAAACTTAACCGTAGTTGTCTGTCGTTTTTAACGAAGCTTGTATAAAAGACGGATTGCTTCTTATATACACAATTATTAAATTACACGAGCCGGAAAAGGGACATGTAATTTTCCAAGGAAAGTAACGCTAGTTTTAGAAAATAATTGTTTGACGACAAATTACGACAGTTAAATTATATTAAATGTATCCGTTGGAAAGAAAATCTTGTCGCATTTAATAATGGCAAAAAGTAAATACTTCTTTGGTCTTAATTGATATAATTAATCCAGGTCTTATTTGATATATTAATCCTCACTGTCAATAACATAATCCAATATATTTGGCATATTGTTAATCCATCGATCATAAAATGCTTCAGATTCCGATGCAAAGAAATATTCAGTATCAATTTTAAAATCTTCACAATTAAACTGTTTTACCTCTAAAAATGTTACAATAATCTGAAATAATGATAGTCAGATGGAACAATGTCAGAAGAATAAGGAGAACAAGGCGAAACTTCCATATTTAATGCCATGATTTTTTCCTGAGTAACTCGATCAATATTTGATCTTGACTTATCGTGTAAGAGCAACAGCGCATTTATGACTAACAAATGATGAGCGTTTTTTTTTTCTGCACATCTTTGTGTAACGCTTCTCAATGAAGTTCTTCAGATAGTAATTATCTGGATTAAAGGTTTTGTTTAACACTTCCTGATAATCCATTCATATCCAACAAAACACAAAATATAATTCTTTTTCCGGTTGTCTTCCGAGTATGGGGGATGGATTCTCTTTTTTCACCTGATGCCAATGATTGTTGTTTTCATTGGATATGATTAGAGAATCCACTTTTCATCTCTGATGATAAGTCTACCCAGGAAAGGTTTATCAGCTAGTCCAGTTTTCAATGACAAGCAGACAATCTCTTTGATGAAGTTGCGAAACATTCAGAGACTTCTCCGAGTTCAAGAAGGCTGTTTTTCTATTTTCTATGGTCGCAGTCTGATTTGCATTGAACAGTTTCGCTAATTCTCATGCAATTCACTCGGACTTTTCCTCAACTATATTTTACAAGAACTCATTATTAACAGAAGTTTTTTGTCCAGACCATTGGACATCTTTGATAGATTCATTTCCCATTTGAAAGTGGTCAAACAATCGTTGGCATATCTGGTTACTTAAAGCTGCATTTCCCGTCACAGGATGGATATTTCTTGCTGCTTCCGTGGCTAAAGAGTCATTTTTGAATTCATAAATCACACCTTGTCGGATAGAGGTTTGATCTAAACTCATTTGAAAAGAGTAAAATTTATACAAAATTTACTCTCTCTAATATTAAGCGAAACATTTCTCACGATCTAAATTTGTACATATAATATGGAGAAAAGTAAGAGATAGGGCATGGAGTTAAATATCCAAAAATGATTCTACTTGTCTCTCCGTAGATCCGCAGACATATTAAGAAACGTAGAGAGGAGGCACGGTGGAGTAATAGGTAGTGGCTCGGATTGAGGAATCGGAGATCCGAGTTCGAATTCCAGTCAAATCCATTACATTCACTTACGTGCTAATACACTTGAGAAAGATATGAATCATCTTCTTCTCCCCCATCTATGGGTAAATAGTAGGACAGACCGGGTTCTATAGCTTGCCTTGGATGGCAACGTGTCTACCGCAGAAAGACATGGCAACCTACTGCGGAAAAAATCTGCCTCGTCAGTCATGTATCGAAAGATACATGATCGCCTAAGCGTGTATCACGCATGGCACATAACTGACTAACTGAGAGGTTGTTTTTTTTGTTTTTTCGTTAGCAGCATATCAACACCTATATAGGTTATTTAATGACGAAATTTAAATATTTTGCTTTTTTTTTCAACCAATAATGGTTTTAGCGATAGAAGTTTTACTAATTAACCCATAGCTGGTGGGAGAAGAGGTGGATTCATACGTAAGTGAATATAACGAACCCAACGGGGTTTGGAACTCGGCTCTCCGACTAACAATTCCGAGCCATTATCCATTACACCACCCGCACATCCAACCTTACAGCATCTGGTATTCCGAAGCCATCACCAATCAAGGTATTAACCAGGCTCAACGTTGCTTAACTTCGGGGATTGTAGCGGAACCGATACTTCAACGTGCTACGGACGTTAGGGAGAAGCAGAGTAAAATTTCTTTTATAGTCAGAAAATATTTTTACTCAATAATTTACTGACATTTTGCATCAAAGTTAAGAAATCCAAAGCTGTAAGCGCGTGTGTGCGCGCTCGTGTGAGTGACTGACCGGTTAATAGATCTGTATTTTATGTGTTATCAACCTGTTTTGCGTTTATTTAAATTTGATGCATATTTTGAATTCTAAGAATAATTATTAGGGAATAACGCACGGACATATGAAGAGTGAATATTATATTAAACATTTTTGTCGATAATAATGATTTCATTCAGATACAAGTCCTACTATTTAACCCATAGCTGGAGGGGAGAAGAGGTGGATTCTTACTTTGGTTAGTAAGTGAATATAGAGACTGATATTGAAAACTTACTCTCCGATATCGTCAGTGCGTAAACAAAAAGATAAAAATCAAAATAGATAGACAAATAAATAGATACGAACGCATTAAGATAGATAGATAGATAGATAGATAGATAGGAAAAAGCTGTCAGATAGATAGATAGATATGAACAGACCGTTAAATAGATAGATAGATAGATAGATAGATAGATAGATAGATAGATAGATAGATAGATAGATAACTTAAACAGGCTGAGATAAACGTAAATAGCAAATTGTCAAGTATTGAAATCAGAGGTTTCACTGAGAGAAACGATTTTCATTTGGACGATGCGGAATCTCCACGTTGAAAACGTGTCGTCTTTACCTGATTTCAGTCAGTGCATCTCATTTTGCAGTTTTTGCAACGCGCAGTAGTGTTCATGAATAAAGCCATTTTTTCTTTCCGCCGAAACAACGGATATTGTAACGGTTCCAACATTTTTAATACTTTTTCAACTGACAACACAAATATAACAGCATCATCTACAGGCAAAAACAAGGCTAAAAATAATGGAAGCCTTATTAATAAAAACAACACTTAATGATATTAACTTTGAACATGGACACAATATCTTGAACGTGTTTTGAAAAATGAAGACATTTTATAAAACATACATACAACAAACTATTTCTTATTTAACAGTTAAAATATTTATTCCTTTAAAATGGCTAAATGTATAGCCGAAAGCGCTCGGATAAAAAGAACATTCGGACAGTTTTTATATAATTTATCATTCGAAAAGAAAAAAAAATATTAGATCGCATGAGAAATTGTATAAAAACTAAATAAAAGCACCTTGTTTGTCGTTTTCAATGAAATGTGCATGAAAGTGTTGTGGATTCCGAGATGAAATTCAGTCTCCAATGTATGACAAACGCAAGAATTAAAGATAAGAAATTAAATGTATTTACACAATAATACAATGGGTAATACTGTTAGTAAATCCAAGAACGCGGTTAGTAGCAATAACATATAGATATATACAGTCTCGAAGTAGGACTTCCCTAGAGTCTACGTGCTTGTAACTGACTTCTACAAGCGGTTACCTCACACTATTACTCTACCTCCAACTCAATCACAATCTCAATCTTCTTACTCTCAATCTCTCTACTCAGATTGACTCTGGGTATTTAACGGCAGCAGTCCAAGTAACACTCTGGTCGAGTCGACTTATATATGAAAAAAAAAAGGGAGGACCCCCATAACAGAAAAAAGAAGGATTGCTGCCGGAATACACAAATATATATATATATATATATATATATATATATATATATATATATATATATATATATAAATTCATGAATCATTCATACAAAAACAAATATAGAGGTTAATGATTTAAATGGCGAGAATACATCTTCGCAAACAATATAAATCATTTAAATCATTAACCTCTATATTTGTTTTTTGTATGAATGATTCATGAATTTATAAATTGTAATTGCACCTTTAATTGAAATATATATATATATATATATATATATATATATATATATATATATATATATATATATATACAAAAATCTTAACTTTCTAATATATATGTGTGTGTGTTTGTGTGCTATCGTACCAGATGAGTTTGGATACTCTACTTCATACACAACGTTTGCAGTTTCTTTTTTTTTTTATATATATATATATATATATATATATATATATATATATATATATATATATATATATATATATATGCACATTTCATTGAATAC